GAGTTCATTAGTAAGCAGTTCCCGACCTTTTCAAGCAAAACTGGTTCTGGTGGCAGAAAGCAGAGAGTTTTCCCACTTTCTTGTCCCAGTAGGAAGAATGGAGAGACTTCCCTTCAGAGCCATCAGCCACACAATTTCCCACACACTCACCTTTGCATGCTAGTTATGAGCACTAACTTTAGAGTCAGCATGGGGCTGCTAGCTGTCATCCAGGAGAACATGTAACAGTTCAGTACCTGCTAGTGTAAAACAGTATAATGTTAAAAATGCCTAATTTATTGGTTTCTTGTGAGAATAAATGTGATAATGTATGGAAAGCACATGGCATGGGAATTGGTCCATGGTTATTCTGTATATAAGTGCTATTTATTATTATATCATTATCATATTGTGTCACACTGGCTCACCCATGCTATTCACATGCATTCGTCTCAACATGTAGCCATTTTCATTCTCACTTTCTCACCCATTTTTATTTTTTTGTTATATTCTGGGGAAAGAGGTAAGGGATGTATCCTGGGGAACAGGATTTATTGTCTTTGAAAAGCTTTGAGTTACAGCTCACTTTCTTATCTACTCTCTCTAACGTTGTGCTTTCATACATCCAAGTTCACCCTGATATTTTATATTCTCCTCCACTTTTTTTTCTTTTGCCACAGATATACCTCCGAGCAGGCTATATTTTGTATTATGGAGAGATGCAGAAGTCCCTCTTACCATTTCCCTTGTTTTCAGAATTCACAGTACTGAGCTCCAAGATCTCTGTGGGATCCAAGGAAAGAAATCCTTTCAGTAAACTGTAGAACCTTTTTTCAGTTTTGTGTGCTTGTTCTCAAGAGAAAACTCAGACACCAATAGACTTCTTCTGGAGCAGGAAACATATCTTCTATGCCCTGGTCCAACATCCAAAAGATCTCACAGCTGCCCAGATTTCCCCAGCCATGGGGAAAGATGTACTGAATCTTCATTTCCCCGTTTATTCCCCACAAGTACCCTTTCTCCCATTTGACAACAGTGCCTGCAGCCATTTCCCCAAGCCTATCCTTATCCTCCCCAGAGCTTTCTTTAGGGACCAACAGATCTCTCCTGGTACCTTCAGCCACTTACCGGGGTCCACTTGCCCTTTATCCAAGAGTGGAATATTCTACAGGCTAATCATGGGGAGGCAGGCTGGTTGGCGTATTTTTGTGCTTCCTGGAGATCCATGTCTGGTCTCTGCTCAGACTGCATGGCAGCTATT